TCATATTACCTCATTATAGTATGAAAACTTAGTAATTCAGGCATTAAAGAGTGAGTACATCTTCCACATGGAAGGAAAAGACACCATGGTGATTTGGTACTGTTTTGCCCTGGTCTCTTGAAGCACTGTTTCGGTTTTCCATTGTTTTGAATCCCCAGAACTATGAGTTAAATAAGCCTCTTTCTATGAAGTAGCTGGGATTCATTACCTCATTATAGTATGAAAACTTAGTAATTCAGGCATTAAAGAGTGAGTACATCTTCCACATGGAAGGAAAAGACACCATGGTGATTTGGTACTGTTTTGCCCTGGTCTCTTGAAGCACTGTTTCGGTCTTTTCCATTGCTTTCTGCCCCACCTTTTCCTACTTTTGCTGAGATGCCACAAATATCTTCTTGTGATCACAGAGTCTGAGAGACATGCATGGCTGTGCAGTATCCCCTTCTAACTCACTGTACACCCATTGTGTCAGATTGTCCAGAGTCAGAGATGAGACAACAAGTCTCTGAGGGTAGGATAGGGACATATTGCTTATATAATGATCGTATTTCAAATACAGTGGTGCAGAACCTCGCTCCCTTAGGTGGACAGATTATCTAGTTGGATATCATTTCAGTTAATATTTCCATGAAAATTCCTTTTGGAATCTCTTATGAACAGAAAATAGAGACTTTATGTTCCTGAAGAGCAATCATGGGCTTGTGGAGATGAAAACATTTACATAGGCAGGTCCTGCAAACTTGTCTGGAGCTCAGTTCTCACTGACGCCAAGTGCTGGTCTCACTTTGCTGCAACAACTGTACTCTCTTGGAATGGGAGCATTCCGTAGCTCCATCACATCCTATGACCCGCCCATCCCAAATCTGCCCATCTATTATGTAACGTCTTCTGATTTTCCTGAATAAGGAAGCAAATAGTCTGAGAAAGAATCTGAGAGAAGAGAAAATGACTCTGGACCCAGACATTTCTCAGTTCTGGGCCAGATATTTTCTCCCCAGTGTATGATGAAAAAACATCGTCTCATACCCCATTCTGATAAGGGTGGTCTGATCTTGGAAGAGAAAGAAGACCATGCCTTGTGGGCAGGAGGAGAACATGACATCTTGCTTGAACAGGTAGGTATGCGACTGGCTGGGCCCGGTGAGCAAGAAGTGCTTTGGTGCATCGGCCTGAAAGACCAGAGCACTTCTATTTCCCCATCATCTAGATCCACCATCTCCACTATTCATTCAGCAAATGAGAGCCTGAGTGCTCGGCATGATGGGTGGAGAAGAGTAGGATCAAATGGAAAAATACAAATGAAGCTTAACCCAAGGCACAGGAACACCCGGGTAAAATGAGAGAACAAGAGTAAATTGTCTTACTTCTTCCTCTGGGCTGCTGTGTGCGGATACTTAGAATCACTTAGGTATGAACAAGTGACTGGGGTGACCACAGATGCGCCTGGCAAGTGAGGCTGCTGCAGTTTAAAGCTGTGTCAGTGGAACTCACGGTGACAGGGGATGCAGTGGTAGCTTGAAAGGGTAAACTTGTCCAGGCTGAAATACTGGCGTGGCCGAGACATAAAATATTCCCCCGAGTCTCATGTTCAGAGGTGGGGCCTGTTCAGAAGGCGCAGGTCAGCGAGGGACTGACTTGGAAGGGTGTCTTCTCACCACTGTCCCCTCCTACCTCCGTGTGCTTGCGGGCCGCACGTGGTGTGCAGCTGTTTCCCACCATGCCATTCTGCTATGTCATCTGTGCCTTCAAGCCACCTGAGCACGGGCTGAGTTTACTGAAACAGCCAAAATACTTCTGTCTTTCTGTTAGAGGTGAAAGGTATTTTGTCCCAGAGACAGGAAAGTGAGTATGACTGTTTCTCAGAATTCCTTTTCCTCTACGTTTCTGGTTGAGGTGGGCATCTCAGTTCGGCACCGGAAGCCAAACAGCTGCTGTGTTGTAGGCGGGTAGAAGGACACCGCGGTGCTTGTGCATGTTGCTGCTTCCCAGATAGCTACGCCACTGTCATGAGACAGAAGTTGGGCCTCAAGTTGTTCCCTTTCCTTGGCTACTTACTCAGCTT